TAGATATCTAATGAGAAGTATTTTCCATCAAACTGGTTATTTGCTTGCCAACAGATGTTGTATTGCAGCTTGAGCTTATAGTTCTGATTTCACTGCTCAGGGATCATTTTTAAAGATGTACCCCGCAATGTTCCTTTTAAATCTTTGGCTGAATCGATCCAAGTTTTAAACATCTAGTGTCCTTCATGTTGCACCAAACGTCTTTGTTTCAGATCTAGGTGACAGTGATTACTCGAGTGACATGGAGAAAGTTCAGCCTGTGTTTCTTTGCCTCACTGAAGTTGGTTTGTCCCTCTGGAGTTCACTGTCAGTCAACAGTCTGTTTGCATAGGGTACAACATGCCTTTTATTTCTCAAGAAGCCTTGTTGATGAACTGTCATGTTGTTTAGAAGTACAGATTGGCAATCGCTCTTCGGTTACTGCACTGAGATCACAAGAGGGGGAAGAACAAACGTGCCCTAGTTGGACTGAATTTTCATTTGAGTTCAGTACTGTCTATGACTGCTTATTCATTAATCTTGATAGATTAGAATAGTTGGATAGATTAGATAGTTGGAAACATTCCAACTATTAGATCTTTTGCGGCAGTCTTTTCCACAAATTCTAGGGCTGCTTTGTCTTATTTATGGAAATGTTTTTTCAGTGTGGAATAGGAAAGATCACAGCTTTAAGAAGTATCTGGGTGGCTTGTTTGTTTTGTTTTCTGTTTTTCTTTCTGGACATGTAAATCTTATTAATTCCTGTGCAATTTCTAATAAGCTGTCTTTTGCCAAATAAGGACTCTCTTAAGAGTGCTTGCAGCATTCGGACTATGTACTCTCCACTAAATAAATGTGGGCTTCTCTTTTTGTGCCTCACTGAGCAAACCATCCATTGCAAGACAAGTTTAGATTTGATGGCAATGGAATGTGAGGCCCCTTTTTATCCTTCAAGTAACAAAGGTGACTAGCAAGTTAATTTCTACTTGGACACCGAAATGTCTTGTAGTTAATGTTTTTCCTACAACTTCGGCCAGTTTTAGCAATATGGCTTCTAAAATAGAGGCCATCACAGGTAATGAAGTGTTATTCTTTTTGTGTAGGAATCTCTGGCTGAGATGCTAATTTATTTTTAACCAGGGCTATGTTGGATATATATCTCAGTCTTTATAATCTAATTTAGATTTTTTTAGGTGTTTAGGGTGGAAGGACTGCTGCTTTATGCCCAAATATTCTACGTTAAGGTATATAGTGCAACATTTGTTGGTGTGGAGGAAGGCAATGTCAGTTTAAAGAGATGGCCTTCTCTTCTAGGACTAGTGTATGCTTACTTTGAGCAAAAACATATTCCTTTCCTGTCAGGTACGAACTTCCAGCCCATGCTAGCCTTCCAAGCAGAGACATTTATTCTGTCTTTCCTCTATTCTTGTTTTGTTCTTTGCTGAATCCATGGAAGTACAGCTCTGAGCTGTAAAGGGAATATATCTCCCTAAGATGGCACGTAACCTCTACTTCTGATACAATAGCAGCATGTTCTTTAGAGGGTAGGTGTGGACTTTAAATGATATCCAGATTGCTGCAAACAAAGAGTGTTTTAGTATATTGCAAAAGCAATCTTCATATGACTGCAAAAACTTGTGAAAGAACACAAAAGCTGAGGACAAGTTATTAGTTAGTTCTCTAATTGCAGTGCATGTCTGTCAGTAGCCAGTTTAAGCTCTTTACGGGGCCCATAAGGACTTCCGATCAGATGATCTGATAAGGGCCTTCTGGTTTTCCAGCCTTTTAAAGAATTCAGTTCCAGTAATCCTCCCTTTCTTTCCTCTTTTCCTTCCTTCCCTGAAGGTCATCACATTCCAGTTTCATGGATTAAAGGATGTTCCCAGAACTGTTGCACAACTCCTGTGAGAGCAATTGGCAGGGTGGTGTCTGAGCAGGGCATCTCTGAGTAGTCTTAAAATGAAGCTACATATTGCCAAGAATGCCAGCTGCTGGAGCCCTGTTTCAGCCCTCAGTCTGTCTGGGCAGGCAGTTGAGCAGGCTTGGGAAGAGCTCTGAGCTCAGGAGTATGACTGGGCTGAGAAGAGGTCTTGGAGTCCTGTGTGAATGCCCAAACACTTCTGCGCTACCAGGAGATGCACTGGCATCTAGGTACTGATGTCTCAAAGTGCTGCTTGTTTCATTTTTCTGGTCACAAAACTGATGGCTAAAATTGTAGTGGCAGTTAATAGCCTGCCTATCAGTGGAGCTGAACCAGTAAATGTTGCTAGATCTCCCAACTGGGTGTGTGCTTTTTTGCGTAATCTTGTAAGCCCTCTTCAAAGAACATGTGGCATCACTCTTCAAGTGCAGGATTTTATATCGGAGTAGGAGATTAAGTATGTTCAAGCGCTGAGGAGAGCAGTTGTACAGAAATGAAAGTAGAGCCCGATTCTGGTTTGCTTCCTGAATGCTTAGCCTCACCAAAACTACACTTCTTTTCAGAAGGTGGCAGAGACACGTGGGTAGTGAGAAGACATGGAATATGTTTTCAAGTTCCTGGTAATTCTGTTGTAACTCTGGCTACAAATTCTTTTAGAAGCAATATTTCCATTCAGTTGTTAGATGGCCCTGGAGCAGAGTTAAAGCACACTAGCTTCTGAGCCTGCCATCCTAAAGAATATGAGTCTCTCCGCATATGAGTCTCTCTCTATCTGTTGCTTATGCTTATAGGTGATTATATCCCTACAGAGAACTGAGAGGCTTCTCTGTGGAATTAGTTCATGTTTCAAAGCAATTTCCATTTATAAGGATATATTTCAAATCGTAAACTGTTTACAGAAAAGAGTTTGGGAAAGATTATGAAGTTGCTAACTACAAGTTAAGGTTGCTGTTTAGTTTTTATCCTGAAAGGCTTCCAGCAATTTGGAAAGGATGTGAGCATAGAGATTAAAAAAAAATACAAAAAAAAAAAAACAGGTATTTGTCCCCTCTGCTGTTTGTTGCAGTTCTGATGCCCTGCTCAGCTCTGTGTTGAGGTATAGGAGGAACTGCATTCGCAGTCATGGCAGAGAGGTGGTCGCAGCTGTGTCTGCTTATGTTACCTGACAGCTTTCATGGTAGTGAAACTTCATGCACATTTTGAGGGGTTTGTAAATCACTGACTCAATGTTCAATGACTCAAAAGCTTTGCATTTATGCATAGGGATTAGTGAAGACTGCTTTCTCAGAGGTTATCATAGTATCTTTTTCTTTCTGCCAGTAGTTTGTTCCTTCAAGCTGTCCATGGGCGCTTGGTTTTTGCCTGTCTGAATGTTATAAATGCAAGTAATTTCTTTGGCCCACTCTCTACAGTCTTGTAGTAGACCTGCTTTTCTTTCTCTTTTTCCTTTTTCTTTTTTCCTTTTTTCTTTTTTTTCCCCTTTTTTTCTTCTATTTAGGCTCATTTTGCACTTTGAGACACTTAAAATAACTGAATCATTTTTTTGAAAGCAGAGAAGAAAACTGGACTTCAGCTAGGGAATCTGATTTAATGTGAGCTAATTACAAAATAAGTTTCATAAGCATGAGAAGCTTGTGCCTTTTTTCCCCCTCTGAAATCTTACTGCTTTTGAGGGCAAGAAAAATTAAGCTTCTGCAGTAAGTCTGGAGAGGAGTTGGAAATTAGGAAATAATTATGTTAGTGGAGGAGGAGAAAAGTCTTAAGTGGCAGTGAGGGCAATTACAAATACTTAGTGCTTCCCACTAATGACACTAAGTTTTGCAAGCTTAACAGGTTTCAGCCTTCTTTTTTTTCCCCTTATGTTTCGATTGCATGCTTGTGGGTGGAATGTCTGATACTCTTGGCTAGAAGAGCTATATAGGTTCTTAAAGAAAATTGCGTTTGTTCTGGCCCAGAGCATACTTATGTGGGTGTTTTTGAGACCTGATGTTCCCTTTGGTTAATTATGGTATCTGCAACTTTAAAAGAAGGTGATTAATATCTAGCAGCTAAATTCCTTGTGCAGCATAGAGCATCACTGCTTTGTGTTTAATGCTTTGACATACGAATTCTTTTTCTGGTGAAGACAGTGGATTATCAGTTAACCAAAAATACACTTTGCAGAGCAGAGACATGAAATTAACCTAGGATAAACAACACTAAATATTACCTGTCATAGTTTTATCAGTGGCCTAGTGCTTATTCTCTTAAACTCATTAAAGTATCATCTTATCAGATATGCATAATTATTACCTGCTTAAGTAAGACAACATCATTTTTTTTGAACAGAACAGAAATATAGTGTACTGTGTAACGTTAAAATTAAGCTATGCTGTAGATAGGTATTTCTGTGTGTATCTGAACACCTGGTGTATTTAGTTATGCCGGCTGTCTCATATCCTGTGTACTAGTTTGACTCTGCATACGAAAGATTCAATACAGAAGTAGCTGAACATATAGAAAATCGGCTACTGCTTGTGTGAAGCAAGATGGATTATCAACAGTAATCTGTTTAATTTAAACCAGCTCAGTTTAACTGAAAAAGCTTAGGGAGCAGCCTCATAATCAGTTCAGCAAGCAGACTGAAGGAGGAAGATAGTAACTTCTATCAGTACAGACAAGCTAGATGGTGTATCCTGGGCAACCTCATCTGATTCATTGGTTTTCACTGATCATGTGAAAGATAAGCAAGCTGCTCTTCCGCGTGCAGTTACCAGTGAGATTTAGCTATTGAGAACTAGCTTATTTAAAGCAGCTAGCCATGTTGTTTTCCAGGTTAGATCCCGGTACAAGTTAAATTGATGATAAAACCAGGAAATGGCTGCACTTGAAAAATATACTTGCTTTATTCCATTCAGTTACTGCCAAATGTGAAAGTGAGTAATTAATTACACCATTGGAGAAGAAACTGCACATATCATTCACACTTCATTTTTCAGTTAACATTCCCATGAGCACAAGTGGTGCACTCATTCTGTTGCCTAGCTAGGAGTCTTGTGCTGCAGTTATGCTTGGTGTATAACTATTGTGTTCACTATCTTTTCCTTTGTTTTCTTTCTAGGGAAAGCCCGTGTGCAGCAGCTGGCAGAGAACACAAGGTATTTCAGAAGAAGACTGAAAGAGATGGGCTTTATCATCTATGGAAATGAAGATTCCCCTGTTGTGCCTCTTATGCTGTACATGCCAGCAAAAATTGGGTATGTTGAACAGGAAAATACCTCATTTTTTCAAAACTGGGATGCTTCAAAAAGACTTTTCTGAATCTAAGAGAAGTTTAGCTTGCCTTTTACTTCTCTGGATGTTACTGAGACTTATAAAACATGGCAACTTTATATAAGTGGTCAAGAGAGAATCGGGTTTGTAGCTTAAGGCATTGGCAAAGCACTTCAGACGATTTTACCACCACATTCCATGTTTTAAAAGCTTTTTCATTTCATTCATCTGTAAAGTGCATATATGCACTAGAGAAGCTGAAATTCAATGGAAATTACTCTTTCACATAAGAATGTTACTAGAGGATTTTTTCAAGCAGCTTTTGGATCAGAAGCAGCCAACACTTTCACCTCTGAAGTCTGAAAATCAAAAAAAAAAAAGAAAAGGAGGAAGGGGGAGAGCTAGGAGGATTCATCAGTAACAAATTATTGATGAATCCCAAATTTATTAAATGGCCTAGGTAACTCCAGTACTGTTATTGCAAATATTGCAAATTCCAGTAGAACTATATCAGACAGCATTATAAAAGCTTTTGGAGTGCTATATGAATAATTAAGACTAAAATTTTGTAAGTACAATAAGTATACTTATGGAAAAAAGTATACTTAATATTAAACAAAAGCCTGATTCCGAGGACAGCTTAGATTTGGTAGCTGCTTTTCGGTGTTGATATAACGCAGTGCTCAACTAATACGTTCAAACTTGAATGTGTTTTTTAGGCATTCATAATACTGTCAAGAAGTGACTTCATTTTTACCAGTTTAGAACATTTTTAGTCCTTTTCTAACTCGGCTTAGCTTCCTGTGTCTCCACAGTGTCCCTTAATTAAGTTGGTGAAAACAACCTTTGAAACTGCAGAAGTGTCTGCTTTGGGGGTGGGCAGCAGGGGGGAATTCCTTGCAGAGTCGAACTTCTGAGCCTAAGTCCCTGTTTCCTATCAGAAAGATTTTTAAGCTTAGGTTACAAATCCATTTAGAGACAGCCTGCTAAAAGACTAGCCCCTGCCACATATAATCTTTCAGCTTTGTTACAACTTAATACAATGCAGTCTTCCTAGGAAGACCACCTGAGGACTGAACAAAAAAAGGCTTTTGTGAACAGGCATTCTGCCTCTAAACCAGGGCAGACCGAGTTGCAGTCTTACAGGCCGCTGCTTCCGCGTGAATTAACGTGCCCGGCCCTTGGTGCTGTTGCTGCGGTGCCCTTGGTACCTGTGTGACATTTGGGCGCGAGATGCTGAAGCGGAACATTGGTGTAGTGGTGGTGGGATTCCCTGCAACCCCAATCATCGAGTCCAGAGCCAGATTCTGTTTGTCTGCAGCTCATACCAAAGAGATACTTGATATAGTAAGTATCTCATCTTCTCCCCCTCTTGCTTGCGCCTTCTGTAAACAGAGATAAGTTGTCTATTTTTTGTTCTATGTTTGGTGCACAAACTAACTGAACTGACTGTTCAAAGCCTTGTAGAGCAAAACTGGCAATGACTCCGGATCATTTTCCTTACCCTGATGATGGAGGATGGCTGCCTACAGTAAATCCCAGGGACTTTCTGTTCTCATTTTAAAGGATCAAACAAAGAGCAGTCTCATTCCTTTGAGGCAATTCTTGTTACCTCTTAACAGGCTTTGTCTTCCACACTTGGGCTTCTAGAACTGAGCCTTTGGGAAGGAAAATAATTCTGTTCCTTCTGATCCTTGATGCACAAGTATTATATAAAAATATTTATATATCTATAAATAAATATTATTCTTAAGTCACTGCCGACTTCAGTATGTGACCTACCTGTGAGAATTTTTGTTCCATAGATTGCTATTCCAGTTCTCACTTCTGGATTCAGAACATACTTTCCTAAACTATTTTGTCCTGTGATCACCTCCTATATGCAATTCTGGTGTCTACAATTCCTGATTCCTGCCTACAGTAAGCCTGTTCCCAGAAGGAATGACAGTCCCCTTGAAGGAGGCCTGCCCTACAATTAGGAGTTGCTACCTTAAAAACTAAATATGGAGTTGTACTTTTTGACAAATGAATTTGACAGGGGATAGTATGATCTTCTGATTGTCCTTACCACATTTTAGAGCAGTAACTACATTTATTTTTGTGTCTTTTTGATTAGACGTATATAACCTGTCCTAATTTGTATCGAAGTTCTCCATTGTGCTTTTTCATACTTTGCTGTTCTATGAATCAGAGCATAAGCTCCATTGAGTCACAGTGCTGGTCTTCAGGAGAGCATACTTTGGCCTGTTCAGAGAACTGCTGGGAGGAATCCTTGGGAGTATGTCCTTGGAAAGAAGGAGAATTCCGGAAAGTTGGTAGTTTTTTTTCAAGAATTTACCTCAGCCAAGTTCAAGTGGTCCATCCTCATATGCAGGAACTAGAGCAAAGGTGGGGCGTGGATTCCTGGATGAACCAGTTGCTCCTAATATAACTCAGACATAAAAAAGGAAGCACACGAGGTGGAATTGAGGACAGGTGACTTAGGAGTATAACAACATTATCTGACCATTCAGAGTTGGGGCTAGGAAAGCCAAAGCTTATTAGTTAGACTGAATCTGATGAGGGAAGGGAAAGGCTACAAGGACTGCAAAGGCAGACTAGGGAAATTGTAGACCTGCTTCTGAATGGGACACAGTAGCAGAAGACATGGAAAAGGCCAATGTATTCAATACCTTTAACAGTAAAGACCAAGGCAATAAGACTAGCTTTTGGGAAACCCAGGTCCCAGAGATCAACAGGAAAATTTGAAGCAATGAAGACTTATATTCAGTAGAGGAGGATCAAACTGGGGAATATTTAAACAGCATAGACATACACAAGTCCTGTCAAAACTATTCAGTTTTGACTGAATCATAGATTTTTCTTAGAGCATGTTAATAGAAATGAGTCCATTGACACAAAGAAGGGGATGCAGTAACTTCTAGGTGCATATGGTGAAATGAATAAGAAGGAGGCGAGTAAAGGGGAAGTTCTCTCTCACATCTTATTGCTGCAAAAGGAAAAAGTTCTGTACAGCCACAAGTTAAACTGTGCAAACATGATGTGCTCTAACATTACATGAACAACCACAGAGTCTTGCAGTCAGCTGGATTCTTTCTCCTTTCTTAGCTAAGGTCTTTACTAAAACAGGCTGATTTCATGAAGTGTTTATAAAGTACTGTTTGTTCCCTTCCAAAACCAATCTGTAACTTTTATTGCTCTGCTTAAACGTTCTTTTCCTGTCAAACTATTTACAAGTCAACCTCCCAGAAAATGTTTCAAGTTTTGTACATTTGCTTTAACACTAAAGGCTCATTTCTATAGCACTTCTGTGGATGCTAAATGCTCTAAACCAAGAGAAATGCTCATTTAGTATTTTAGGGTGTGTCTGAGGAAAATAAATCCAGAACAAAATTATTAATTTCAAAATGAATGAACAAATCCTGATTTAACTTGGCACATGGAGTCTTTTTTCCAAATTAGCATAATCCACTTTGAAGTTTAAAACAGCTGCATATTTTGGACCCAGAGCATTATAAGCCAGATTTGATAAGGAGCAGATTGCTGTGTGGACAACTTGTGTTTTCTTTTGATGCAGTGAATGGGAATTGGTGTCAAACAATCAATAGTTAAGTCTGCCATCAGAACAGATCCCTCTGAATTATGAATTATTAGGAGGAAAAAAATAAATAAAACTGAAGAGAGACAAGGGCCTCTAAAAGTCAGTGCTATAGGGAGCTGGCTGGGTTGTCCGTGTGTGTGTGGATGCTAGCAAGTGGTCTTGCTCTGGCATTCTTCTCTATGTACTACATCCAGGTTTGGAGCATGGGGGTGAGAAATTCAGGTTGTAAATGGTGATATTTGTAATGCTTCCTTGTTCTTATTAAATAAACCCCCATGATGGAGAGCAGTTCTCAGTTACAATTTTAACTGTTTTATGTAAATAAAACTTCCTTGCCTGAAAATATTTGGCTCAGGATCAGAGTGAAGTCCTCATAACCTGCATCCCTGTGGGCTGGTGCTTTCTTTTCAATGTTGAAAAATACATTACACTCCCTTGAAGTCAGAGTTCACCAATGCAGTTTCCTTTGTAGTCTTTGCTAGTCACATGGTCCTTTTTGTTTTAAATTAATAAAATCCTAAGTCCGAGTTCAAGTATAACAGTTAACAGACTCTTTCAACACAAATTCAACCTTAAATTGTTTCCATATGGGGTCTTTACTTAAAGCTCTGGTAAAGCATGCCCACGCTTTTTTTGTTTTTACTGTAGTCCAACTTCTGGACTTGTCATTCCCCCATATCTTGGAGTGCAGAAATTCTTGCTGCCAGATATAACAAGCATGAGAGGCCATTGTTTAAAGAAACAAAAACTTGAACTATCCGTCCAGGAAGGAAAAGCTGTGTAGGGATATTAACCCCCGTCTACCAACTATTCTCAAGAGACAGGCAGTTGACCCAAAACGTGCTAAAATCGTAGCATTCATGTGGAGTTAGTGGCCTTCTCAAGGAAGTCTGAGAGTATCTCTACAAGCAAACTTTAAATTCTAAGGAGAGAAAAATGCCAGCCTAGCCTTTGGGTTCAAAAATGACATTGGACTTGGAAGTAGTCTTCTGATGTCATCTCTTTGTCACTTGCCATATATAAGGTCATCGGCATCTCCTACTATTGCAAGTTGATCTGCAGTGACTGGTTTATCTGGACCTTGCTGCAGAAGTATTCTGCAATGAAATTGCAGCTTAGGGTTTGATTTTCCATGAACTGTATTGTAAACCAATCTCTGCTCAAAGAGAATGCTAAGTGTAACTGTCTGAGCAGGGGTTTTCCCATGTCTTGTACAGACTAGCAGGTGATCGATCACTGCTAACTTCATGTGACTTACCTTTGGGACAGAATTGTGAAGAACTTTGCATTTCATTAGAGGTCTTCTGGGTTATCAGTCCTCTTAAGTTCTGCCTTTGTAGCGACTTTAGCCAGTGAGGCTTACTTTCTAGGGATAAAAAGCTTGGAATCCTACTGGAGAACTTCTTTGCTCATTCCTTGGATACGTTGGCAAAAATCTCCCATGCAACTTTATTTACGATAGGTGGTAAAATTCTATCCAGGTAAGATAGCAGTCTGTGGACATGAAAAAAGGAAAATGTGCTGTTAATTTTCTTGCATCTGTTTCCTCTGTTGATACAGTGTGGTCTCTTTCTTAGGCTTTAAAAGAAATCAATGAAGTTGGGGATCTTTTGCAACTGAAATATTCCCGTCACCGGTTGGTACCTCTCTTGGACCGGCCGTTTGATGAGACTACATATGAAGAAACAGAAGACTGAACTCCCTCCATGTGCCTTGGTGGGAGGAGCACACCCATGGGACACTGTGTGGCACGCAAGCCGCGGAGTCCGTGAACAACACACTTATGACTGCTTAGCATACAAGACATTTCCTCACAATACTGAAGTGGCCACATCAGCTCTAAATGGCATTTTGTAAATAGGGAAAGGAAACAAAAGCTTTGATTCCTGTGTCTTCAGGGTCTGGCCCTAGAGGTGCTTGGTTTTATTTTTTCTTACTGTTCCTTTTATTTATTTGTCACAATGAATTCACGGCAACCCTAGCTGGCTGTGGGTGATCAGCTCAGACTTCGTATGCACCATTAGCCTTCCCAATGCTAGCTGAGATGTTGTGAGCATGTGTGATGCTGGCATGGCAGCATTCCCAGTGTCACTGCTAGGTGTCTGACCTTCCCGGTAAGGAGCGAGCTGACCTGTCTGATCATTCAGGAATTCTTAGAGAAAGTGTTGTTTGCTAACTTTATCATATTTAACAAGATGGATAATCAACCAAAGCATTTTTCTTTTGCAGTTACTTGTGTTTAAAACTTCAAGCTAGCCTTTTTTTAAATAAATGTTTTGTTGACAAGTCACTGACAGGACCATTGTTCCCAAATGTTATTTAGTTT